ATACGCTGACACTCGTCCTTGTTTGTTTGACTAAGAGAGTCACTTATACAGTAACACTCGTCCTTGTTTGTTTGACTAAGAGAGTCATTCATACAGTAACACTCGTCCTTGTTTGTTTGACTAAGAGAGTCATTCATACACTAACACTCGTCCTTGTTTGTTTGACTAAGAGAGCCACTCATACACTAACACTCGTCCTTGTTTGTTTGACTAAGAGAGTCACTCATACACTAACACTCGTCCTTGTTTGTTTGACTAAGAGAGTCATTCATACACTGACACTCGTCCTTGTTTGTTTGACTAAGAGAGTCACTCATACACTGACACTCGTCCTTGTTTGTTTGACTAAGAGAGTCACTCATTTAAAGAGCACCAATATAAAACTAATTAGAACACTTCTGCATATTGGTTGTGTTTCTAAGAACGTCTTTTTATATGACAGGAGAATGAAATATTTGATCACCCAGAAAGCGAAGTCACACTTCAGACGCAGACTTTCGTATAAAACAGTATTAAACATTAATTGATAAATTCGGAAATCGCAAATGGAGGTTCTTGAATTTAGAAAAGAAAAAAGCTTCTACTCTGACAACCAAGCGGAAGAATGCAACTGAGTTCCTTTCTTTGAACGAAACTCCACGTTTTTATTTGTTCTTCTGATAAAAGAAATTTCTTCTCGTGCCCAGTGCGTGCGCTGTAGTTTGAAGCACGAGTGTGTGAGCGCATGCGCGATTCGATTCCACGAGAGCCAACCCTTAAACAAACAGCTTTTGACGATGAGTTTCTACACTTGTGGTCACGCACCCGCTCGTGCTTTTAGTTATCCAGATAAAGTATATTTCCAGCAGAGTTTTCAAACATTGAGGGTTTGAAGCTGTTACGGAATATACAGAAAGACCTAGTACACCACCCAAAATAGTTTCAACTTGCAATCTGGGTTAAATCAAAAACTGTAAACGTTTACTGGGAAGTCTATCTGTAACTGGGCCTAGTCACTAACAATAGTATTCTGTTGGTCAGGTATATTCTGTAACAACAATAGAACACTATAGTTAGTAACCAGGCTACACTAAAACACAACAGTGTTACACTCACTGTATATACCTGACCGAGAGAACACTATAGTTAGTAACCAGGCTACACTAAAACACAACAGTGTTACAGTCACTGTATATACCTTATTAACCGAACACTACAGATAACAAGCTACAATAAAACACCACAGTGTCACAGTCACTCAATATACCTGACCTACAGAATACTACTGTTAGTGACTAGGCTAGATAGTATTAACACAACAACAACACAATTACAGAATATACCTGACCAACAGAATACTATTGTTAGTGACTAGGCTAGATGGTATTAACACAACAACAACAACACTATTACAGAATATACCTGACCAACAGAATACTATTGTTAGTGACTAGGCTAGATAGTATTAACACAACAACCTTGGTCAGGTATATACAGTGACGGTAACACTGTGGTGTTTTAGTGTAGCGTGGTTACTAACTATAGTGTTCTGTTTATTAGACTTTTTATATTAATTAATACTGGCTCTGTTGGTCAGAATAATCTGTTGAATATTGGCTATTATTTGTTGGATCAGTCAGGATTGTGTTTCTGTGATCTCTTTGTGGTAAATTATAACAGTGAAAGTTGTCTTATAATTAGTTATTAAACGGTAGTCTAAGGTGTTGTTGGCAGACGATCAGATTCCGTCCCTACCAGAAAAACAGGTTAAGTTATTAGGGATTAGTTTCGAGGATTACCGAAAAGAGAAAGGAGCACATAAAAAATGTCCACCCCCACATTTTCTACCCTCATACCGTAATTACTGCCTCTGAGAATGAGTGACCACCTGGCGACGGTATGGAGGGTTCTTTCCCGGAAAAAGACCTCCTGCAACCCCGGAGACGGCGGTGAACAGAGACATCGATGTTTGACTGTTTTAGACGTGACATGTTTGGGTGAGAAAACTGTATCTTTTATATGTTTCAGGAAAACATTATCAATTCAGATATCACAAGTTTTAACAGACTGAGAAACCTTATCAGTTCAGATATAGTTCAATTTGGTAAACTAGGTTTCACGAAATGCTGGGGGTATGGGAGTACCACTCATAGTAGTGTTTATTTGTTGTTGTTTTATCTTCAGAGAAAAGTGACAATAGGCGATCTGCTGTGTCCACCGCGGGGAATCGAACCCCGGAAGTTAGCGTTGTAAGTCCTTAGACTTACCGCTGTCCCACTGGAGGGACAACAGCGTTCACAAGATATGATTGTTAAAAATGTTTTAGTAAATCGTTAACTGAGGGATGCTGTTCTGCAGTGAAGACACTTATACAGGGGTAGTCATGTTTTAGTAAATCGTTAACTGAGGGATGCTGTTCTGCAGTGAAGACACTTATACAGGGGTAGTCATGTTTTAGTAAATCGTTAACTGAGGGATGCTGTTCTGCAGTGAAGACACTTATACAGGGGTAGTCATGTTTTAGTAAATCGTTAACTGAGGGTATTGCTATTCTGCAGTGAAGACACTTATACAGGGGTAGTCATGTTTTAGTAAATCGTTAACTGAGGGATTGCTATTCTGCAGTGAAGACACTTATACAGGGGTAGTCGGATGGAGACAACTTGAACAGTTTTTAAAACGTTGATTTATAGCGTATTTCAACGAGCTTAGATTACTAGTTACTGATTGTACTTATCTTCGTAATAATAACACTTTACGACAATCAACACACATAACACGTTCACTGGAATAATTATGTTTTAACGAAGGACGATTTTCCAACATTGTCAGTGTTGCTTTCTACAATAGGGTGAAATATGATCGCAAATTTATTTTATCTATGACGTTATAAACCACAAATAATCGTGGCTAAATGTAGAACTGACAAAATAAAAGTCGCGTGAAATGTATGGATCAACTTACAGAACTTTGCTTTAAAACAGTTGTTATTATTATCACTCATAAAAGTTAAGAAAACAAAATTTTCATACATACTGGAATGATATTTGATTTAAACAGTTCCTGTTTGTTAAACACTGTTTAATGGTATTTCACATTAACAGTTCCTGTTTGTTAAACACTGTTTACTGGTATTTTACATCAACAGTTCCTGTTTGTTAAACACTGTTTAATGGTATTTCACATAAACAGTTCCTGTTTGTTAAACACTGTTTAATGGTATTTCACATCAACAGTTCCTGTTTGTTAAACACTGTTTAATGGTATTTCACATCAACAGTTCCTGTTTGTTAAACACTGTTTAACGGTATCACGCAA